TAAAAGCATGTGGTTTGAAGCTTAAATGAACTTTGCTCTCTGGTATCCGTAGCCAGGGACTTGTTAGTTAATGAATAGTTACTCAAGAAAAGACAGTTTGGAATTTGTAACTGCAGTTAATTTAGGAAAAAATCTATGTTTTAATTACTGCAGTGTTGTAATTTTAGTATTACAGTAACAGAATGTTTTTATTGAATTACCCATTCTTCCCATGTTCATGACAAGGGTTGAGTATCAGCGCTCAAAACATCTTATAGGGAAGAAGCTATACATGTGAATATGTGCTTCGTGCTTCGTCTTATTGAGGTTTGGACACAGTCCTGCTGACGGTCTCATAAGCAGACTATTTCATCTAAGGCTTCACAGCACAATCAGATGAGAATCTGCATCCGTAGGGTGAGTTCACAGTCAACCTGGGAACTGGGAATCTGGCATGGGGAGGAGACACTGTTATGGAAAACACGTGATGAGGTTGGTTGGGAGGACTGCAAGCAAATTGGAGGACGAGGTCAGGATCCCAAAGTATCTAAATGCAGCCGGAGAAATGCTAACGAAAGCGCCAGGATGAAGTTGCAGGCGGCTGAGAAGGAGTAGCCCCAGGAAGGCAAGGCCGCGCGGAGGAGGAGATCCGGCTGAGCCGGGGCACGAGCAGACCGCGCCGTGAGCGGGAGGCGGCCGCCAAACGGGGCTCTGGGATGGAGCAGCATTTGAGCGGCCCGGGAAGGTGTGAAGGGCAAAGCTGCGTCCACCTGCAGCCTGCGGAGATGTTGGTAGTCTGGGAAAAAGATGGTGATGGGACTGGAGATGTGCCGAGCGTCAGGGGTGGCAGGGCGCATGGTGCGGTGCAGCGCTGGGCGCTCGGTTCCCCTCTGTGCTTGCAGGTGGCTCCAAGGGAAATAACTCGCCCGAAGTGCAATAAAGCTGTAGATGAGATTTTAAGAAAACCTTCCTTCCTTTATGGACTGTTAAGTATCGACATAGCAATGCAGGGAGGTTGTGAAACCTCCCTGAGGGCTTTAAAGAACAGGTTAGCCCTGATCTGCGCTCGCAGGGGATGGGTAACCCGAAGTGCAGCCCGGCGGCGCCCTGGGGCGAGGACTGAGGAACCCTGGCGTGCGCCTGCGCCCGTAGGTATGGGGTGCTGGAGCAGCGCCGGCTGGACTCGCCTGGAGCTGCTGGCCAAGCAGCCATCGCCACCAGAGGTGCTGACACCCGAGCTGGGACCGACATGGCCTGCTGAGGGACATGTGAAATAGGTGGTATCTCACCGTTGCCTAAGAAAGCCAGTCCCGCCTGTGAGGCCGGCAGCGTTGGCAGGGCGATGCCGCTCAGCAGCAGGCTGCCCGTGTCCTTTCCAACGTGCAGGCAACAGCTTAAGCCCTATGAATTCGAGCGCTGGTGAAATACTGCCTCCTCATGTTTACGTGTGCTCCATCACTGTGTAACGACAGGGTGGAAGTTTTCCTCACCGTGAATGCCTTTGGAGGAGGAAGGTTTACATTTTTATAGAGGATGAGGTGTATCTGTATATTTAGATCTTTATAAATCACAGTTCAGGTCCTGCGTGCTCTTTGTGATATGTGATCCAAAATAAGTCGCATGTCTTCACTCAGCAGCTTCAGCTAAGTTTGGAGTCAGGTGGATTTAATTGGGCTGTTCGTTTTCTGCTGGATACAGTGAGTTCATTTATCTTGACAGAAAACGTAGTCTGTCCAGGCCGCTGCTGTAGGTTCGGTTTACCACATTCTGCAAATCTTAACGAATTGATATTGCATGGTTATTTTTTGTAGCAAATGCAGTATGTCATGGGGAAAAGTAGACTTTAATAGCTAAGTGGGAAGCATTTGGCACCAATAAAGCACAGGAAGCAACTCAGTTTCGTGAGTAAATATTATTTAGCTGGTTTTATTTTGTAGTCAAAGTGCCTTTGGCACACTGTTGGCATTTTAAAAATGTTAACGCTTAACCTTGAGCGACTGAAGTCTGAAAGTCAAGAAGCAGCTGCTGCGTTGTCAGGCTGCAGAGTAAACTGCTCAGCAGTGACACAGTTAAGTAGTTGCAAATTTAAGCACTGGGGTTTAGTTCCTGCTGCTGCGGCCAGGAGGCCGGCCGGCGTCAGGCTGGGAAGGTGCCACCCCGCTGAGCTGTCAGCTCCTGCAGCTGGGGCTGCTGGGGCAGGTGCGAGGCTGGTGGGAAACCTCATAGTTTCCAGCAGTAGTAACTTTGTTTTGGCGGCAGAGTCTGCAGCTGGGATATATCTGGGTTTGTGACTGTCTGGAGAAGGCCACTCCAAGCTCATCAGATATCGGCGTGGACTTCCAGCCATCCCAGATATCCCGCTCTGAGATTTTTATACTCTGTTGAACTTTGATATCAGCAGTTACATACTTCAAATGCTTCAGCTCCTAAGTGCCTAGCAAAGACGGATGAATTTGTATCTCGGTGTTTGCAGTGTCCTCTGGGAGCAAGTTCATCCTGATAGTCTTTTGAAGCACTTAGGCTTCCAGCCAGCACGCCATCCTTGTGCTTGTAAGACAGCATGCAGCGAAAAGCGTTGGGGACTACCAGTAGCTCTCCTGTGCTTCCCTTAGGAGTGATAAAAGACAATTTCAGGTTCATCATTGGGGAAAAAGTCACCTCTGCCATAGCCAGGGTTCGTCATTTCCCGTGTCATCTTCAGTTTCATCTCTTCCGTTGCTGGCTGCTGTCGGTAGCTGGTGTTCTTCTGCAGTTCGGTGGAGCTCATGCTGGATTTTAATACCCTGAGTAATGTTTGGTTTCATCTGCAAATTTTGCCACCTTGTTATTCATCCGTTTTTCTAGAGTCGTGCTGAACGTGCCACGCAGTGCAGTGCTGGATACGTGGGGAACCTTCTGCTTTGTTCTTGTCCTCTTAGTTCTCCGAGGGACCTTCAGGTTGTGGGCAGCCTTTCCTGAAAATCTAGGCGCTGAAAAGTCGTAGACTGGGTCTATGATCATGCTTATTGACTCCTCCAAGGGACGCAGGTAGAGGCATGAGGTGCGACTCTCGTGTGTTTATTTTGTATTTGAAAGGAAAACGGAGGGAGCCTGCCGCCCCGGACCCCTCGGGAGCAGGCGGGCCTTGCTGCCTTCCCTTTTTCCTTGCGTTCCTGGCTTAAAGAGACTTTTTTACCCCCCGTGCCGTGTTCTGCGTTGCAGAATTTTGCTTTCTTTTAACACGGGGCTTGATTTCCAGCAAGTTTGTCTACAGTAATCTCCGTTTTCTTTTACATGTGAAACAGATACTTTCCTTGAGAACAGAACTGTGCTGCAAATGTTTTTTTTTTCCCCCCCCGAGACTAATATCCTTGAAAGTGTCAGAGCCTTCCTAACCCAGACACTCACTTCTGCCTTATCAAGTACAACTAACACAGATGAACACCCGGGCCCAGTCCACGTCTACCAACCTTTTTTTTTTTCTTTCCAGTGACTAGAAAACGTTTTAAAGAAATGGTCACCAAATATTTCTTTCTGTTATTGATCGGCTTTAAGCGTTCAAGGCCTGTTCCCTTCATCAGATCTGAGTCTGCCTCTTTGCGCAGACTCTGCGCTCTTTGTGCGTTTTTCGGAAGCGGGCACGGCCAGCACTGTGAAGCTTCATTGCTTTTATTATGCAGACTGGTCCCTCTGCCAGCCGACAGCACAGGCTGGACGTAGCAGGCGGGCTCGGCGCCCCTGAGACGGTGCCTTGATTCTGTTCCCCTGAACTCCTGGAATAAACAGGCGCCGATTTGATTCTCTTTCTTAAATCATGGTTTCTGTTATTGATCGGATTTAAGCGTTCAAGGCCTGTTCCCTTCATCAGATCTGAGTCTGCCCCTTTGCGCAGACTCTGCGCTCTTTGTGCGTTTTTCGGAAGCGGGCACGGCCAGCACTGTGAAGCTTCATTGCTTTTATTATGCAGACTGGTCCCTCTGCCAGCCGACAGCACAGGCTGGACGTAGCAGGCGGGCTCGGCGCCCCTGAGACGGTGCCTTGATTCTGTTCCCCTGAACTCCTGGAATAAACAGGCGCCGATTTGATTCTCTTTCTTAAATCATGGTCCAGAGCAAACTGCAGCAGAGCGCGCCAGGTCTCTGCTGGAGCTGAGGTTTGGTGTCGCCGCGTTTCGCTCCCCCGGCAGCCCCTCCCTGGCGCTGACCCGTTGGTGGCTTGGTATAACTTTGGCAGGACTCGAGTGCTGTCAGATGGTGTCTGGATCTTTTTTTTTTTTAATGCAGCAGTCGCTCTGTTTCGTTGTCAGAGCAGGCGGTCTGAACAAGCGGCGGTGGCGGGCGGCGCGCCCGTGCGTTTCTCCGCCGCTTCCGCTCGCGGAGACGGCTCGGC